TACCTTTGCCAGGTATGTGTGGACATCGGAGGGGCACATTTGGGACACAGCCATTCCAGTTTTTTTCAAACTTTGAATTTTTATGCTGTGCCTATGTCCCATTTTAGAGTATTTTACCAGGCTATATAATCCAAATTCCCCATAAAGCCATACCATTTCTTAAAGAAGACATCCCAGGGTATTTCAAAAAGGCATATTTTGAACCTCAGCGTGGGATCATTTTTCCGCTAGCTTGTACCAAGTGTAGTGGTAATAAGCATTTTTCTGCCTTTTTGACATACAAAGTGAGTTTGCACAGTATATTTTGCAAACCTTATGTGTGCTACGACTGTATAATACTTCATATGTTGCTCAGCTATGTCGGCTGAGTACAGCAATACCCCCGTATGTACCTTTGCCAGGTATGTGTGGACATCGGAGGGGCACATTTGGGACACAGCCATTCCAGTTTTTTTCAAACTTTGAATTTTTATGCTGTGCCTATGTCCCATTTTAGAGTATTTTACCAGGCTATATAATCCAAATTCCCCATAAAGCCATACCATTTCTTAAAGAAGACATCCCAGGGTATTTCAAAAGGCATATTTTGAACCTTAGCGTGGGATCATTTTTCCGCTAGCTTGTACCAAGTGTAGTGGTAATAAGCATTTTTTCTGCCTTTTTGACATACAAAGTGAGTTTGCGCAGCATATTTTGCAAACCTTATGTGTACTATGACTGTATAATACTTCATATGTTGCTCAGCTATGTCGGCTGAGTACAGCAATACCCCCGTATGTACCTTTGCCAGGTATATGTGGATGTTGAAGGGGCGCATTTGAGACGCAGCCATTCAGTTTTTTTCTAACTTTGAAGTTTTACGCTGTGTCCATGTTCCAATTTGGAATAGTTTAGACGGTTGGTTATTGAGACTTCCCCACAAACACATACTATTTATTAAAGAATACACCCTGGGGTAATTCAAAAGGCATATTTTGAACCTTGGCGTGGGATAATTTTTTCTCTAGTTTGTTCCAGGTGTAGTGGTAATGAGCGTTTTTAAAATGTATTTTTTTACTTTTTATAACTTTTTACTTTTAAAAACTAGTTTTTAAACTTTTGTTTTGCTTATAAATTTTTTTTAAACTTTCCTAAACTTTCTTAAAACTTTTTTACAGATTTAACATTTTTCTAAGATATTTTTTTACTGTTAACCCCTAACTAGCAGTACGCAGCACTAACAGTAAATTCCCCATTTTCCCATAACTCCCACCCACCCCAGCTAGCAAAATATATAGTTATAAAATATTTAAATTAATTAATTAAATAAATTGAACCCCTGAGGGTTAAAAAATAAATAAAAGTTAATCCTCAGGGGTTAAAAAAAATTAGATCACAGTATAATACTGTGATCTCTATTTGATCGCTGTAGGCAGTGATCGACTGGCAGGGAAGGGGTTAATTTTTATTTGGACTAGGTAAAGTGTGTTTTTTTGTTTTTATTACTTAAATGTTATTAAAACATTTTTTTAAGCTTAATTTTTAACTTTTTAAAGTTTCTTTTAAAACTTTTTTTAACGTTAACCCCTAGTTAGCCTAACGCCAAATCCCCCAATTCCCCACTAACTTCCACCTACCCCAGCTATCTATAATATATAATTTAATTAATTAATTTAATTAATTTAACCCCTGAGGGTTAAAAAAAAAAGAATTAACCCTCAGGGGTTAAAAAAAATAAATCAGATCATAGTAAAATGTAATCCCTGCCAATTGATCACTGTAGTCAGTGATCAATTGGCAGGGAAGGGGTTAATTTTTTATTAAAATGGGTAAGGGGGGGACTTTAAATAAACTTTATTTTTTTTTCCAGCAGGGGGCAGGATCAGCACTGATCCGGCTCCCTGCACTTCACACAGAACCCGGAAGTGCAGGGAGCCGGTAGGTGAGTATACAGAGCACATGTGCTCGCTCCGACTTGTGGTCAGAGCGAGCACATGTGCTGGGCAGCTGACCGGGTGCTCCCGGTATGCCTCTAATACAGAGGCATACCGGGAGCACCATTAACCCCGCGATCGCCGCGATAGCGGCGATCCGGGGTTAATTTTACCGCGTGACGGACGAGGTCCGTCACCCGTCGTTAAGGGTCTCCCCTGTGTGACGGACCTCGTCCGTCACCCGTCCTGAAGGGGTTAAAGAAAAATGTAATTTGGTTTGCTTTCCTTAATTTTACCTTATATTCGTAACTAACATAAAAATAACGCATGTCCTGTAATATGACAAGCCTAAATGAACAGATTGCAAAATGTTTAGTACTTTATAAAATTCACCCTAAGCTCATTATGAATGTACATTGTGGGATATTTAAATGAATGGGAACAAGCAAAAACACACACAGAGAGAAGCTCAGCATTGAGGAAACAACCTGAGTGCATTTGTCACTCTCATACATTCCTCAGGGAAGGTCTGAGATTAGAGCCATCTATTGTCTTAACAAGGCATTGCTTGGTTTGAGCAAATGAGTTACCATCAAACCTTGGTCTGTTGTCACTAGACTGCACAAGACATAGAAGTGGTTTTCCTCTATGGATGCTGAGGCAACTGATTTGGAAAGTGACTCATGGCTAGCAAATTCAAGTTCAATTGCTGAGAGGAAGTCATTACTTCCTAACTCAATTCAGACTACTCTCTCTCATGTGTTTTAATATTTTCCCATTTCGGGATAGCGGGAAATTATCAAACAATGTCAATGACTACTCATTAGTTGTAAAGGTAGCCTGAGACAAGTTGGGATAAAGCAGTCACCTTAAAACCGAAATTAATTTTTCTAAAATATTTGGATACATAGAACACATTGACTTTAAATCGGATTCAATAACTTCCAAATAAAATTCCTTCTATTAAATCAGTTACTTTGCATCTCCTCAAAAAAACGTATTTAGCTTGACTTTTGATTTCTGATGAGAATATAGTTTGAATTTCCCACAAATTGAATTCCAATAGATAAACAAGCTCCCGATAACAGAAGAATTAGACAGTTGTCTATTTTCTGTTTATTTATTCAAATTTAAAGAAAAATGTAATTTGGTTTGCTTTCCTTAATTTTACCTTATATTCGTAACTAACATAAAAATAACGCATGTCCTGTAATATGACAAGCCTAAATGAACAGATTGCAAAATGTTTAGTACTTTATAAAATTCACCCTAAGCTCATTATGAATGTACATTGTGGGATATTTAAATGAATGGGAACAAGCAAAAACACACACAGAGAGAAGCTCAGCGTTGAGGAAACAACCTGAGTGCATTTGTCACTCTCATACATTCCTCAGGGAAGGTCTGAGATTAGAGCCATCTATTGTCTTAACAAGGCATTGCTTGGTTTGAGCAAATGAGTTACCATCAAACCTTGGTCTGTTGTCACTAGACTGCACAAGACATAGAAGTGGTTTTCCTCTATGGATGCTGAAGCAACTGATTTGGAAAGTGACTCATGGCTAGCAAATTCAAGTTCAATTCCTGAGAGGAAGTCATTACTTCCTAACTCAATTCAGACTACTCTCTCTCATGTGTTTTAATATTTTCCCATTTCGGGATCGCGGGAAATTATCAAACAATGTCAATGACTACTCATGAGTTGTAAAGGTAGCCTGAGACAAGTTGGGATAAAGCAGTCACCTTAAAACCGAAAATTCATTTTTCTAAAATATTTGGATACATAGAACACATTGACTTTAAATCGGATTCAATAACTTCCAAATAAAATTCCTTCTATTAAATCAGTTACTTTGCATCTCCTCAAAAAAACGTATTTAGCTTGACTTTTGATTTCTGATGAGAATATAGTTTGAATTTCCCACAAATTGAATTCCAATAGATAAACAAGCTCCCGATAACAGAAGAATTAGACAGTTGTCTATTTTCTGTTTATTTATTCAAATTTAAAGAAAAATGTAATTTGGTTTGCTTTCCTTAATTTTACCTTATATTCGTAACTAACATAAAAATAACGCATGTCCTGTAATATGACAAGCCTAAATGAACAGATTGCAAAATGTTTAGTACTTTATAAAATTCACCCTAAGCTCATTATGAATGTACATTGTGGGATATTTAAATGAATGGGAACAAGCAAAAACACACACAGAGAGAAGCTCAGCGTTGAGGAAACAACCTGAGTGCATTTGTCACTCTCATACATTCATCAGGGAAGGTCTGAGATTAGAGCCATCTATTGTCTTAACAAGGCATTGCTTGGTTTGAGCAAATGAGTTACCATCAAACCTTGGTCTGTTGTCACTAGACTGCACAAGACATAGAAGTGGTTTTCCTCTATGGATGCTGAGGCAACTGATTTGGAAAGTGACTCATGGCTAGCAAATTCAAGTTCAATTGCTGAGAGGAAGTCATTACTTCCTAACTCAATTCAGACTACTCTCTCTCATGTGTTTTAATATTTTCCCATTTCGGGATAGCGGGAAATTATCAAACAATGTCAATGACTACTCATTAGTTGTAAAGGTAGCCTGAGACAAGTTGGGATAAAGCAGTCACCTTAAAACCGAAATTAATTTTTCTAAAATATTTGGATACATAGAACACATTGACTTTAAATCGGATTCAATAACTTCCAAATAAAATTCCTTCTATTAAATCAATTACTTTGCGTCTCCTCAAAAAAACGTATTTAGCTTGACTTTTGATTTCTGATGGGAATATAGTTTGAATTTCCCACAAATTGAATTCCAATAGATAAACAAGCTCCCGATAACAGAAGATTTAGACAGTTGTCTATTTTCTGTTTATTTATTCAAATTTAAAGAAAAATGTAATTTGGTTTGCTTTCCTTAATTTTACCTTATATTCGTAACTAAAATAAAAATAATGCATGTCCTGTAATATGACAAGCCTAACTGAACAGATTGCAAAATGTTTAGTACTTTATAAAATTCACCCTAAGCTCATTATGAATGTACATTGTGGGATATTTAAATGAATGGGAACAAGCAAAACACACAGAGAGAAGCTCAGTGTTGAGGAAACACTGTCACTGTCATACATTCCTCAGGGAAGGTCTGAGATTAGAACCATCTATTGTCTTAACAAGGTATTGCTTGGTTTGAGCAAATGAGTTACCATCAACAGGGCCAGATTAAGAGCCCAGTGGGCCTGGTGCTGACAATTATGATGGACCTAGTTACAAAATTTTATTGACCAAAAATACCAAAACAGTCCTACCTCCTAAGCATCATGTATCTGATGGAGATGGTGCTGGAGGGAAACTCATAGGATGCAGCTATGAGAAAACACACACCCACGCTTTCATCTTTCAAGTAAACCCATACCCCCTAACAGCAGTGTCCAGTAAAGCAGGAAGTCTATGGACAGGGCAAAAGGGTGGCCACTGACACAAATCACATAACCAGAACTGCCGAAAGGTGCGAACATACACAAAAAGGGGGCATGTCTGTGTCCCCATGTCTCCCAGTGTCCCTATGTCACTAGGACACTAGAGGACATTGAGAGACATTGGGACACTGAGAGACCTGGGGACACTGAGACACTTGGGGAAACTGGGAGACATGGGGACACTGGGTAACTTTGAGACATGAGAGGACACTGGGAGACTAAGACACTGTGATACATAGGGGACACTGATATATAGGGGACACTGGAGACTTGATAAAGACCTGGGTACAGGTAAAAATGTTGTGGTGTCCAATAAACCTGCTTAAATCTATCACAGTGAGTGCCTGAGATTTTTTTATTTTATACTAGGGGACATTGAGACACTTGGGGGCGCTGTGAGACATGGGGACACTGGGAGACTAGGGGACACTGAGGCACTAAGGACACTGAAACACACCAGGGATACTGGGAGACATGGGGCACTGAGACACTCTGATACACAGGGGACACTGTGATACATAGGGCACACTGGAGACTTGATAAAGACCTGGTTACAGGTTGAACCATTGCGATGTCCAATAAATCTGCTTAAATCTATCACAGCGTAATAATAACTACCTATTTCCAGCGCTAAAAGACTCTGAATGGCGGTGTTAGCTGGAAAGGAACACAAGATGAGGAAATGTATGCTCTTTGATTGAACGCTGCACACCACTTATATTAATGGTCAGATAGCAAATCCAAAGCCAACTGGCTATACCTCTACCTACTCAGAAAAATAGATGATATATGCAGAAATAAATAAAGAATATAAAGTCGTCCAATTGTCCTAATCTCTGACTTTATTGAGTGAGGTCTCTATCAGGAGTTGGATTTTCTTATATCACACTGAGTAGGTGTCTAGGATACATGGAGCAGATGGCTGATGTCATTGATTCTACAATATCATAATATAGAACTAGTAGAAGGTTGTTTGTAATTACAAATTGTTGCAATCTCTCTTCTCCTAATTTTGGTTAATGCAATTCAATATAGGAGACAGTTTGAGTGAAGAAACTGAGTCAGATAGCTGTCAGGTTAGGGCTTCTGTATTAGCACAGTGTTGCAATATTGCTGCAAAACGGAGAGAGCATAAAGAGGATACTAATAAGCTACAGTTGCTTTAACCCTCCTTGTCTATTTTCTGTTTATTTATGCAAATTTAAACAAAAATGTAATTTGGTTTGCTTTCCTTAATTTTACCTTATATTCGTAACCAACATAAAAATAACGCATGTCCTGTAATATGACAAGCCTAAATGAACAGATTGCAAAATGTTTAGTACTTTATAAAATACACCCTAAGCTCATTATGAATGTACATTGTGGGATATTTAAATGAATGGGAACAAGCAAAAACACACACAGAGAGAAGCTCAGCGTTGAGGAAACTACCTCAGTGCATTTGTCACTCTCATAAATTCCTCAGGGAAGGTCTGAGATTAGAACCATCTATTGTCTTAACAAGGCATTGCTTGGTTTGAGTAAATGAGTTACCATCAAACCTTGGTCTGTTGTCACTAGACTGCACAAGACATAGAAGTGGTTTTCCCCTATGGATGCTGAGGCAACTGATTGGGAAAGTGACTCATGGCTAGCAAATTCAAGTTTAATTGCTGAGAGGAAGTCATTACTTCCTAACTCAATTCAGACTACTCTCTCTCCTGTAAAGTCTGGATAGGTGTAGCACTATATTCAAATAGGCATAATAGTGGAGATAAAAAAAGAGAGTGTATAAAAGACAATACCTCAAAATGCCCTTAAATAAATCTTCCAAGTGTTTAGTTTCTATAAAACATAAAGAACAAACAAACCAGACATAGTGTATACTGTATAATACAGTTAAATGTAAAAAAAGAAGGGATAAATTCCCACTCACACTTTTAAGAGCTAATGTATAATAGCTCAATCTTAGCGCTCTTGGGGTCCGTAAAGACGACCCTCACCCTTCTTGTATGCAGGTACTTCTTGTATTCTATAGGAATGGAAGAGAACGAATATGGTGCGGTACCATTGGTCTTATGTAAATAGTAACTGAGTTGGGGTACTTACAAACTTTGATCTATCCAAATCAGCTCTGATCTGAGAGCTTGTGTGGTTAAGGACCACACACCTTCTTTAAAAAATAGCAGGGATAATGCCAATAATGTAGAATAAAAAAATTATACAATATTTATTATAAACAATAACGGTATATATATATATATATATATAAATATATAAAACAAGAGGGGGTTGGCTGCACTCACCTTATCATGCATAAATGGGGGTGCTGCTGGGGGCCAAATAATACAATACGCAAGATCCAGCGCACTCACCTATCCACTAAACAGCAACTTCAATGTTGAAAGATTTTATTTGTTTTTTTAAAAACACCTAATCTAGGCAAAAATAATGAGGGTTTAGTTACATTATATGATCATACAGTGCATAAGCCTGCCACAACGTCAATGTACCCCATCTTTGGCAGGTCCTACACTAACAGCCTAATGTCTGCTCTTATGAGATTAACCTACTTGGGGAAAGAAATTCCATCTGGGGCTCTCTGCAGTACAAGGCTAAATAGGGCCCTGGGATGAGGCACCTGTGACAGGGAGGGGTGCAAAACCAAGGAGTTGGCTAGACTCCCAAATATATATAAAACAAGAGGGGGTTGGCTGCACTCACCTTAACATGCATAAATGGGGGTGCTGCTGGGGGCCAAATAATACAATACACAAGATCCAGCGCACTCACCTATCCACTAAACAGCAACTTCAATGTTGAAAGATTTTATTTGTTTTTTTTTAAAACACCTAATCTAGGCAAAAATAATGGGGGTTTAGTTACATTATATGATCATACAGTGCATAAGCCTGCCACAACGTCAATGTACCCCATCTTTGGCAGGTCCTACACTTTTAAAAAAACAAGTAAAATCTTTCAACATTGAAGTTGCTGTTTAGTGGATAGGTGAGTGAGCTGGATCTTGTGTATTGTATTATTTGGCCCCCAGCAGCACCCCCATTTATGCATGATAAGGTGAGTGCAGCCAACCCCCTCTTGTTTTATATATATATTTGGGAGTCTAGCCAACTCCTTGGTTTTGCACCCCTCCCTGTCACAGGTGCCTCATCCCAGGGCCCTATTTAGCCTTGTACTGCAGAGAGCCCCAGATGGAATTTTTCCCCAAGTAGGTTAATCTCATAAGAGCAGACATTAGGCTGTTAGTGTAGGACCTGCCAAAGATGGGGTACATTGACGTTGTGGCAGGCTTATGCAATGTATGATCATATAATGTAACTAAACCCCCATTATTTTTGCCTAGATTAGGTGTTTTTAAAAAAACAAATAAAATCTTTCAACATTGAAGTTGCTGTTTAGTGGATAGGTGAGTGCGCTGGATCTTGTGTATTGTATTATTTGGCCCCCAGCAGCACCCCCATTTATGCATGATAAGGTGAGTGCAGCCAACCCCCTCTTGTTTTATATATATTTGGGAGTCTAGCCAACTCCTTGGTTTTGCACCCCTCCCTGTCACAGGTGCCTCATCCCAGGGCCCTATTTAGCCTTGTACTGCAGAGAGCCCCAGATGGAATTTCTTTCCCCAAGTAGGTTAATCTCATAAGAGCAGACATTAGGCTGTTAGTGTAGGACCTGCCAAAGATGGGGTACATTGACGTTGTGGCAGGCTTATGCACTGTATGATCATATAATGTAACTAAACCCCCATTATTTTTGCCTAGATTAGGTGTTTTTAAAAAAACAAATAAAATCTTTCAACATTGAAGTTGCTGTTTAGTGGATAGGTGAGTGCGCTGGATCTTGTGTATTGTATTATTTGGCCCCCAGCAGCACCCCCATTTATGCATGTTAAGGTGAGTGCAGCCAACCCCCTCTTGTTTTATATATATATTTGGGAGTCTAGCCAACTCCTTGGTTTTGCACCCCTCCCTGTCACAGGTGCCTCATCCCAGGGCCCTATTTAGCCTTGTACTGCAGAGAGCCCCAGATGGAATTTCTTTCCCCAAGTAGGTTAATCTCATAAGAGCAGACATTAGGCTGTTAGTGTAGGACCTGCCAAAGATGGGGTACATTGACGTTGTGGCAGGCTTATGCACTGTATGATCATATAATGTAACTAAACCCCCATTATTTTTGCCTAGATTAGGTGTTTTTAAAAAAACAAATAAAATCTTTCAACATTGAAGTTGCTGTTTAGTGGATAGGTGAGTGCGCTGGGTCTTGTGTATTATATATAAATATATATATATATATTAAAACAACAGTAGTGTTAAATTGGTATAAAAAATCCAAACGTCCGAAGTCTCACAGTCTTTTTCCAGGACGCGTTTCACCTATACAGGCTTCCTCAGCTGGATATAGTGATGGAGTTTCTCATGGATTTCCCCTGCTATATGTACCCCTCTAAGGGATAGATAATTGGTGTGCAGCTTGTATTTTCGCGGGCAATCACCATGGAAACGGTGATGCCCTGCGTTCCAAGCCTCCTTCTTCTGTTTTCTTCCGGGTTTGTGTTGCGTCGCGTCATTTCCGGTTTTGCTGATACGTCATTTCCGTGCGTTCCATTATGCGGTTCACGCGTTCTTCTCTCAATAAGATCAGACCGGCATTTACATGCAATGAAATAGGATACAATTTTGTAATGTTGAAACTAGTTACATGTTACAAACTTCTTATACAGTTTCTATTCTATTCCCCAGATAGTTTAATCCCGGTTTTAAAGTAAAGCAGAAATAAGTGCAATAAAGTTATTATTTACACATACATAAATGTTACTTTTCTTTTTGTTTGACTTAATATAGAAAATAATTTGATGTTAGTAGTTAAATATCTACTTTAAAGAATATTGCATTTCTGACAAATCAATATAGGA